GAGAGAGAGAGATCACAATGTCACAATGAACTATAAACTCAGTCTCAGTTTTGGACCATAAGGCTATGAATGGAGAAAATACTTTTGTTTGTTTTGAGATAACCCAGGCTGGACTCAAATTCTAAATGTAGCAGAAGATGACCTTGAACTTCTGACCCTCCGGACCCCACCTTCTAAGTGCTAAGATGACAGCTGCAGACCACCATGCCTGGGTTTTGTAAGGCTGGGATGGAACCCAAGGCTTTGAGCAAGCCAGACAAGCACGCTATCTGAGGAGCTACATGCCTAGCCTGTTTTCTTTCTTTTTATTTTCCTTTCTTCCTCTTTCTCTCTCCACTTTCCTTTCCTTCTTTTTGTTTATTTTATTTTATTTTATTTTTTTCTTTGAGACAAGGTCTGGCTATGAAACCCAGGCTTGGAACTCTATATGCAGCCCATGGCTAGTCTCAAACTAGTGATCCTCCTGCCTCAGTCTTGCAAGTTTTAGGACTTCAAGCATGTACCACCATACCAAGTATGGATCAAACCTAGAGCTTCCGGCATGCTGGCAATTTCTCTGCCAGCTAATCATGCCCCCAGCCCAAGAAATAGATGCCTTCAACATATATTTATTTGTTTGTCTCTTTTTTTTTCTTTCTTTCTTTCCTTTTTTTTTTTTTTTTTTTTTGGTTTTTTGAGACAGGGTTTCTCTGAATAGCCTTGGCTATCCTGGAACTCACTCTGTAGACCAGGCTGGCCTCGAACTCAGAAATCCGCCTGCCTCTGCCTCCCAAGTGCTGGGATTAAAGGCGTGCACCACCACTGCCTGGCTATTTGTTTGTTTCTTATGGTCCATGAAAATACTTTTAAAATCATAAATAGCTTCAGGAAAGCTTCACCCATCATTCCTCAGTAATAGTTGCCTGAAGAAGACAGGAACAAGGCCAACACCAGTGGACATGGGAAGGGAAAATCCCATGACCCAGCACCAGGCTAAGGACTACAGGCATCTAAGGGATGCTGGAAGCAAGAAGAGCAGTCTCCCCTGGGGGGAGCCCACTAATGGGTTACCTGATACCAAGTGTTTAGATCCCAAATCACTTACATGCAAGCAACACCGGACAGAGAGAGAGAGAGAGAGAGAGAGAGAGAGAGAGAGAGAGAGAGAGAGAGAGAGA